TAAAATAAACTATATTTTTACTTCATTAAGTATTTTTCAAAAACATTTCTAATGGCAGCATAATGATCAATGTTTTATATTCATTTACTTACAATTTTGATGGATACCACCTATTCCTAATCCCTTATTCGTATCTATTTTGTACACTCACAATCTGCTGAAGTATTTCTCTCCCCTAATTCCTTCCCTAGTGAAGACAAGAGCAATGGAATCTTGGCCTTTCTGGGATCAACCTTTTCATCTATGGTGGTTACTTTGGCACCTGAGGTTTCAGGGACTTCACTGATAATTATTTCACTAATGGCTTCAGAGTGCTTCAAAGTCAATTATAAAACACGACTCAAAAATTTTTTTTTTGCTTTAGTTTTCAGTATAAAATTAATCTCACACACCTTGTTGGTAGTCTTATTCTCCTTAACTTGTACATCTCAATTATTTATTTATTATTAAGATTTTAGTTTACTTTGCCAGGGGTTTCACTAAACGTATTTTTCAATATAGTTATTTACTGGGCCTTTGTCACTTCTCTTATACCCTAAATTTTTTTTTTTTTTTTTTTACAGGCTCTGGACGCGCAGGCTCAGCACCCATGGCTCACGGGTCCAGCCACTCCGCGGCATGTAGGATCTTCCCGGACTGCGGCATGAACCCGTGTCCCCCGCATCGGCAGGCGGACTCTCAACCACTGCGCCACCAGGGAAGCCCTCCCCTAAATTTGATGGATTTGTCTTTTTCTCCTCTATCTGTGTTGAGGTCTTTACAAAGAGTGTTTCACCCACAAATGCTTGCTGCAATCATTTTAGAAACAAGCTTTATATATTCATTACATTCATTACATACATACATACATATTACATCTCATCCAGGTAAGGAGTTTTTCTTTCCTTTTTAAAATATACTTGGATAGTTAAGCCTTACCTGTTTTAACTTTGTATTTACTCATTCATTACTTCCAGCTCAGTTTCACTATCTTAATAATGTGATCTACAATCTACAGTTAATAGATTCACTGTTATAGTGAATTATAAGATTCCTTTAAAGATTTTGTATTCATTCAATGTATACATATTTATCATAAGATTCTGAATATGTGTATCACATAAAACTTACAAAGTTTTGGGTTTTGTAATGAGGCAGATCTAGACTCAGACCCAGCCTTGAACACTCTTGAGTCCTTGGGCAAAGTACTTACTTACCGATACTTCAGTTCTCCCATCCAGTAAAATGGAAGTAACTCTCACGTGTAAAGCAACATAGGGCTAGGATAATGAGCATAATGTACATAAAAGTAACAATGTATGCTAAATGCCTACAAATGATGCCCAGTATGTTATACAGAAAAAAATGTTAACTCACTCTCTCTTCCCTCCTAACGCAAGCAAAAGGGCAATAAATGCTGTGCTCCTCAACTTAAGTCCCTTATTAAATTCCCTTAAGTAAAAGCAGTTTGGCGATATGAACCATGAGCTCTGGATGTTCATATACTCTGACTCAACACTTTCACTTTGGGAAATCTATTTTAATGAAATAATCTAAAACACAGAAACTGTTTTATGTATAAGAATGTTCACTGTAGTGTTTCTTACAACTGCAAAAAGAAACTTGCTAACTGTCCAACAGTAAAACGTTTACTTATGAGAAATTCACAAAAACATTGTGGTCATTTGAAAAGGTGCTGATGAAATAATTTACTAGCAAGAGAAAGCTTATGGTGCTAGGTGAAAATAGCAGAATGCAAAATTGTTAATATTAAAGTCTCAACTGTGTAAAGATCAAATAAACTGAGAAAAAATATTGGAAGGAAAGGTATCAAAGGGTTTACAGTAGTTACCTCATGGTCCTGATATTAGTGATTATTATTTTATGGTGTTTTCTATAATACCAATGATCATGACGATGATAATAATAGCAGTTATTATGTATGAAGTGTTTACTACATGCCAGGCCAAGTTCTAAGAGCTTAGTATTAACTCATTTAATCCTCATAAGATTAATTCCTTAAAAGATGAGATAACTGAGGCACAGTGGGATGAAGTAATTTGTTCAAGGTTACACAGTTAATTATGGAAGGTGCCAAGACTTGAATCCAAGTAGTCTGGCTCCAGAGTTCCTGCTTCTGCTATACTACACTGAAAAGACTTGCTTTGTTTAAAAATTTTAACCATTAAAAAGGCACATGCCAATTCAAACCTTGTGGCCTTTCAGATATGAGATTTCTTTCAGCTTTCCTTCAGTTCTGAATTCAAATATTTGCTTTGCCATCAGGTGCCATTTTGGAATAAGATGTAGCCACCATTCCTGTATAGGTTCTATCAACTCCAGAAAATTCTAAGACAAATCTCCACCCCTATTTCCTGTTCCATTATCTCATTTAACCACTGAGACTCTGGAACTCTTAACTTTCTTACTTATTACACCTACTGACAGTACTTCAAAGAATTCTTCTAGTAAGGAGGTCTTAGAGCCAGCAAGGGTGGCTTCTAGAAACTCTTTCCCACACTAACACCCATCCATGTAACTACAATTACAGTTTGTAGTTGTAATTGTAGTGGTAAATCTACAGTTACCACTTTTGCAAACATTTGTCTTCCATTGTAAAGTTCTCACCCTCTGCCACCCAGGAGACCCCTCTTACCTGCCAACACTCACCAGATAGCTACCATAGCACGGGCTGAATGGAACCAACTAAGAAAGATTTTCAACACCTGGGGAATTTAACTGTATCTCAACCTCCTTTCTGAAGGTGGCATTATTCTCCACTGTTTTTAAAAACTTCATCAGTTAATCAATCACCTTGACTTCCTCAGCTTTCTCACCCTTTTGCTGGTAAACCAAATTGTTTTTTTAGGAACAAGGTCTTTTTGGCACCAATACATATTCAAATATCAATTCCAGGAAAAAATATTCATAATTTACACCCTGGGCAATAAAAATAACTTCCACTTACTGCTGTGTTCTTCTCTGCAGTTTACATTTGCTAAATTTATTTCATTACGTATGTCACTTGGTTTGGCTTCCTTTATAACCAAATTCCTTTTCTTAAAAACAGTATCTGCAGAATCCAACATGGCTGACTGCAAGCAATTCTTCTAAACATAGTACATTTATATTTCAATGCAGTTCATTTACAGTATTTAGAAAAACAGACTCATGAGATGGCCTTAACATTACATAAAGAAGAAAAACTAGTCATAAAAACAATGAATACAATAACAAGTGTTGATAATGGAAAGATTTACAACCAGAATCATACATATTTTTACCAAAAGCTTATCCTGCTCACAGTATATAATGATAATAAGCTCGATTACCTTAAAATATTTTTATAGATATTTCAGTGGGAGGAATTTAGTAATTCCCTGAATATCTAGGATGAAGATGTAACTACATCAAGGCTAATCTGGTGGGGGCCCCTTTTAGGAAAAAGAAAATGGAGCACTAATAGTTCATTAGGCTCCCATTAAATTAGGTGAAGTAAAAACCGTACTGCCAAACTTACACATTTATGCGTTGCATATGCTGAGGAGTAAAGAAGAAATCTGCACCTTCAAGCTAATATTTCTCTTTTGCAGTTGCAAGTTTTCAACTTGGCGTAGTCACTCTCTAAGAAGAATGGGGTGCAGGAGGGAGTGAAAGTGGAAAACAGAATCATTTTCAAAAGACGGAATCCTCCCCTGCTTCATTAGGCATAACTTATTTACCATTCTAATATGAAAATTTAATAAAACAGAGAAACTTAAAATCCAAAAGTAACTTGTTATCCTAATAATGAGCATGTCAGGACAGCCATTTTACAACCTTACAGTTTCAAATACCTATTCCACGATACAATTTGTATTTTAAAAACATCTTTCCTTTAGATTAAAAAAAAAAGAAAAGCACCATTTATGCACTCATCATTGAAGTCATGAGCTTCAACGCAGGATCGTTACTGAGCTTCTTAATACAACTGTCAAAATCAATTTGTGGATAGTCTCCAACTTTAAATTTCTACATTTTTATCTGCTGAAGAACCGAACTGATTAGCGATTGTTAAGATAACGGACTTAAACTGTAAGCAATCCTTGCAAAATCCAGTTGATTTTTAAAATCAGGAAACAAATAACAGGCGATTGTTTTTGAAGGATGAAAGCCATGCCCAAAACAGGTTGACTGTGGCGTGGGTCCGCTTCTCAGCAGCAGTTCCCTGTGGCGCGTTCGCGTGAGAGAAGTACAAAAGGGCAAAAGCGCAAAAAACACAAACCCACGCAAAACCCGTACAGTTACAAACATTAAAATTATGTACACATGTCGTGAAACCATGAGTCCCCAAGTGTAAAGAACCGCCTGGAGAAAGCGATCAGCCAGCGGAGTGTGGTGGCGATGGTCTGTGTGGACCAGGGACACCCGGGCAGAGGGGGCCGGGCGGGGACAAAGACCGGGCATCCGGGGCAGCGCCCGACAGTGCCCAGAACCCTCGGGAAGCAGGTGTCCCACGGCAGCGACTGCGGTACCCAGGACCCTGAAACGCCGCGGTTTAATGGTCGGGGGCAAAGGCTCCCCGAGGAACACACCCTCTTCCCACCGCTCCTAACGGGCTTCAGGCCCTAACCTCGGACACCTGAAGAGCCGCCGCCAGCCCCCTGTCCGGATCCCCAGGGACGTCCGGGCGGGCAGCTGTTGGGCTTAGAACCGCGCCGCCGCCGCCGCCGGGCTCCAAACGGCAGGGCGGGCACCGAGAATGCGGCGGCGGGTCCGGCGCCTCTCCCCGCGGCCCGTCAGGCAGCTTCCGAACAGCTTGCCTCCGTTCCCGCCCTCCAGTCCGGGGCCGCGCACCCTCACGCTACCTACCCGGTCCCACACCATCCCAGAGGCCTCCGGCGCTCGGGCCCTCTGCCGAAGCGGCGTTGCCTCCCCTCCGGGGCCTGAAATGGCTGCGGAACAAAGAAAATCTGGGCTCCAGCTAGCGCCGGTCTGATTGGGCGTGGGCGGGGCCTGCCGCTGGAACGTTAGGCGGCTGTCGCCTTGGCAACGGCGGCGGGGCTGGGAAAACCGTGGCCGGGGCTTGCGGGGCCTATGGATCTACGCCCGGCGGCGCGTGGCAGCGGTTTCTAAGCCCGCGCTGCAGCCTCGGGCTTCGGCGCGCCGCCGGGCTCCCGCTCGCGCCCCCTGCGGCCGGCGCGCGGGCCCGAGCCTCTGGCTCGCTGGAGGAACCCGCACGGACGCTGCTCCGCCCTGTAAGGCCTCGACCAAAATGGCCTGTAAGTGTGGCTGCCTCCGAGCGCGACGACCCTACCCCAGCCCAACTTCCATACCTCAGGACCACCTCCAAAGTGACAGCCCTTCCCTGGGAGCCTATTAAACACCGAACGTGCCACATATTCCACAATAATACAGTTCCATCGCCGCTGGTAAAAAATAGAAATGGCTTCAGTGGATAGATTCGGTGGACGGTCCTCTGCTAATATTGCAGGATAGCTTTTGAGGTATGCTGTTTCTAACACATCAACTGCTTTGTAGGTGAAATTAAATGCCTTCTAAAATTAGGTTTTACGTCTCCAGGCGTGTATTCATATAAAACTAGGTTCTTGCTCTTAGAAATAACAAGTCCTCCTCTCGGTAACCGGCCATCACGAGAAATTAAAATGTCTTCTATTTTCCGAACAGAAAATAATTCAAAATGGGAGAGGTAGACTTTTTATATACTCAATTATAATAATGGTAGTGAATAGATAAAAGCAGTGCCCTTACCCCATAGTATTCTTCTATATAAAGTTACTGTATGTGAATATTTTAAATTTGCATCGCTAGATAATTATTTCCTAGGGTGATGATGCCGCTGATGATATTCTTCCTCACATGGTCAATGTGTCAAAAGGCCAACAGTTTTGACTATCCTACTTGCAAGTGCTGTATATATTATGTTTTGAAAATGTGTAGTGATTGTTGCCTTCCAGGCATATTCTAGATAAAATTAGAGTACCAATACTAGGAAGTGATTTTATACTGAGACATCTTACTTGTTAATAAACTTGTTAATAATTTTCGTTTGCAACAACAATCATTTTACGAAAGAACAAGTTTATTTAACTTAAATTTTGAGTAAAATTTAAAACGACCATTTCTCCAGGACATGGAAGCAACCTAAGTGTCCATAGACAGATGAATGGATAAAGAAGATGTGGCACATATATACAATGGAATATTGCTCAGCCATCAAAAGAAATGAAATTGAGTTATTTGTAATGAGGTGGATGGACCGAAAGTCTGTCATACAGAGTGAGGTAAGTCAGAAAGCGAAAAACAAATACCGTATGCTAACACATATATATGGAATCTAAGAAAAAAAAAAAAAAGTGAAGAACCTAGGGGTAAGACGGGAATAAAGACACAGACCTACTAGAGAATGTATTTGAGGACCCGGGGAGGGGGAAGGGTAAGCTGGGACGAAGTGAGAGAGTGGCATAGACATATACACACTACCAAATGTAAAATAGATAGCTAGTGGGAAGCAGCTACATAGCACAGGGAGATCACCTGGGTGCTTTGTGACCACCTAGAGCGGTGGGATAGGGAGGAGATATGGGGATATATGTATATGTATGGCTGATTCACTTTGTTATAAAGCAGAAACTAACACACCATTGTAAAGTGTGTCCAATAAACTCGTTAAAAAAAAAGGACCATTTCTGTCATTAGGAAATTGAACATGGCAAGAAAAAAATTTTAAATAACTAAAATATTCGTAATTATGCTTTTAACATTTTCTGATGGTAATTCGATAGCAGTTGAATACAGTAGTGTACAGCAAAAAGAGGCCCCCCAAATAGGAATAGATTACCAAGAAAAAAATCTTAATGTAAACCTTCCTAAATGGTAGTTCAGTGTATCTGCAGGGATATGTGTCCAAATAACAAACAGGGTTTATTTCTGCATTTGAAAATTTCCATCATGGAATAGGGAGCCTTGTTCTGTACAAATGAGAGTGTATGTGGTATCTGTATTCTACTTTGCTAAAGAAAAATAACAGGAATACTTTTTAAATGTGTAGGAATAGCAAATAATGACCGATGTAAAGAACTATTGATTAAGTAATTAGTAAGGAATTCACCTGATTAATAGTTTGGAAATAATTGAAATGGATTGGAAAGAAGTGAAGTATTATTTAGTGTATGCGAGAGGATTTATTGGCCAAAATTTTTTGAAAGAAAAAATATTGATTACCAGTATTTTGAAATTAAGACTAGGCAAATTAAATATCCATTCTTTTATAAAATTTAAATGAAAGTGGATTAAAATTTTAATATAAAATAGTTCTGCAATGAATAAAGAGATACATGTAGCCTTTTTATCTTTATCCTTTAGGTTAAATTAAAAATACATGTTTTAAACAGTAAATCTTCTTATCATTAGCAAGGATTTATTAACACAGCTTATTTTAGTTTATATTTCCTGTTATTTGTTTTTTCTTGGCACAGTTTGTGCATGAAGTAGCAGCTACCCAGTAGTGTTTTCTCTTTATACCCAAATACAGGCCTGCAATGCTTATGTGATAAAACTTTGAAGAATTGTCAGTACTTTTTAATGATATATACTGAAATTAAAAACAGTAAATAAACTTTGAGTTTAACTTCAGAACCTATTACAGATATCTTATATTTTAAATTTCTGTATTAAAATTTGTTTCTTAGGTAAAAAAATTGACCAAGATAAAAATCAAAGAATGGTAGAAATTACAAAATAGCATTAAGGGAGAAAACATACCTATAAGCTTTCACCTTGGAAGGAAAAGATGCTTACTCTGTAGGATGTAGCACTGTCAAAACAAGCATGAAGCTGGGAGGCAGAGGGCTTGTATGTACTTGCAAACACTTTCAGTTCAGTCCTTCTGAGCTTCACTTTCCTTGCTTTAAACAGGATTAAATATGAAAGTATATTAGCGCATTAGCAGAGTGCCTGGCAGATAGTTAGAGGGCAATAAAAGACAGCATTACTAGGTATTAATATGTATAAAAGAGCAGATATTTGAGAAGGAGGAATGGTTATTGAAAAAATAATAGGACTGGAAATCCATAAGTTATTAAATAAATTAAGTTAAATAATAATTAAATAATTAAATATTAAATAATAAATTAAATAAAGTTATTAAATAAATATCTTTAATAGTAAATTATTAGTGAGTATATAGAAACTCAGTAAGAGAAGTGAAATAATCTATTAGATACAGGTAAGCTTCTAAAATAGAAAACTTCTAAGAAATGTTGTTTCCATCTTATGCTTCTGGAAAGTTGGGAATTCTCATTCATTCCTTTACCACTAGGCAGTTTAAGGAATTGCCTTCCATTGAAATATGTTCAGATTGGCAATAAGGAAAAAACATTTAAAAAGTAATTATTTAGAGGAATTTAATTCAAATATTGGAAGAGGACAGTTGTAGTCAATATTCAGAAATGTGTATATAATCTATAAGCATTTCTCATTTAAAGCAAACCCAAGATATAGTTTGAATGTACAGAAGAGATACACAAGGGAACTATTATTAACTGGGAGAGGATTAACTTCAAAGTTCCTTTAACTATTAATATCTCCTAGTGATTAAAATATGATTCTATTTATAGAAAGGTCTACTTAGACTTCTGCTTCTGGGAAGATGGAGTAGACCTACTTTTCCCTCTTCCTCTCACTAAGTACAATGAAAAACCTTGAATATTACACATAAAACAAACATAAGACTCTGAAAGATGGAGAGAAGACAGACCATCTAGGGCCCTGGAAACCCAAGGAACATGATGGGTAGTTCCCTGAGTTTTCTTTTTGCCTCATATGTTCCAGACTTGAAACTGAAGAAGCTGGCTACCTGGAAGTGCCAATGGTACAGACAAAAAAAGGCCCAACAAAGTATTGCTCTCTTTAGCTGAAGGACCAGTAAAGGGGCAGTATAGCAGATAGAAAACATTTAGACAATAAATGCTCTACTCCAGACAAAAACTATGAAAAAAACCCAAATGTGACACCCCCCCCAACTCATGCCAGCAAAGGTCTGGTGCAGAGCCTAGACTTCCACCCTCAGCAGGCTATAACAAGGTGCCCCAAACCCCCTCCCCTTTTCTCGTGTCAGATAAAGTTAAGTAGGGAATTAGAACTTTCATCCCACTAGCCAGTAATGAGGAGCCTCCCACCTTGGGTGTCAGTGGAGGCCAAGTGGGGAACTTGGACTTCTCCCCCAACCTGGCAGTAATAAGGTGGTGTATGCTCCCCAACCCCACTTCCACTTGCATTGCTGTGTCAGAAAAAGCCAGCTAAAACAAAAGATTTAAATAAGATCTAAAATCTCATGGCACAATATCCTAAATGTCTAGATTTCAATTGAAAATCGATTGTCATGTTAAGAACTAGGAAGATTTCAAACTATATAAAAAGGACAATAAATGATAAAACCAAGATGATAGAGATGTTAGAATATCTGACAGATTTTAAAGCAGACAAAAATGCTTCAATGAACAACTACAAAAATACTTGAAACAGAGAAAAAATAGAAAATCTCAGCAAAGTAGTAGAAGATATAAAAAAGAACCAAATGGAAATTTTAGAACTAAAAAATATAATAATTGGAGTAAAAAACTAAGTGGATGGGTTTAACAACACAATGGAGGAGTACAAGGAAAGAATTAGTGAACTTGTAGAAAGAAAAATAGAAATTACCCAATCTAACAATAGAGAGAAAATAGATTTTAAAAAAATGAACACAGTCTCATGGAGTTGAGTGACTATAACAAAAGACCTAACATTTGTGTCATCAGAGTCCTGGAAGGAGAAAAGAAAGAAGGTGGGGCTAAAAATACTCAAAGAAATAATGGCTGAAAACTTCTGAAATTTGACAAAAGACATAAACCTACAGATTTAAGAAGTTGAGCAAATTTTCAACAAAAGTGCCCAAACAACTAAATGAGGGAAAGACAGTTTTCAACAAATAGTGCTGGGACAACTGAGTATCCACCTGCAAAAGAGTAAAATTGGACCCCTGCCTCATACCATATACAAAAATTAACTCAAAATGGATCATAGAACTAAATTTAAGAGGTAACACTGTAAAATACTTGGAAGAAAACATGGAAGTAGATCTTTGTGACCTTGAGTTAGGAAAAGACTTCTTAGATATGACGTCAAAAACACAAGCAACAAAAGAAAGCACTAGATAAATTGGACTTCAACAAAATTTAAAACTTTTGTGCTTCAAAGGACACCATAAAGAGAGAAAGTG